GTATTCCCGGCACCCTACCCTCGACCGAAGTGCCAAGTGTGACGGCAGAGCCCAACCCCATAAATATTTTTTCGCTCTATTTCTTTTTACATCGAAATACTAGAAAAATAGAGCAAGAAACTAAAACACGGCTAGTTGAACTTGATACCATTTTTAACTACTCGACATACTGCCGTGAGAAATGCACTTGATACCAAGAGAGAGAAGAAAGCGGATGGAAAACGATTAAAAAAAAAGCTGAAAAAAAAGGCTTTAATTTATGCATCTCCCTGTAGTAATAAAGAAGTACCAGTAAATAACGTCCGACCAGCAAGGGCGGGCTCTTGGAGGCAAAATAACGGCGTTCTTGGCCGTACAGTAGCCACTGCGATTTGTTCGCATGGGTCGGGATTGCGTTTTGCACCATGTGCTCGTCTCTCACGACTGACCCCGGGCAATCTTCACTCATTCCCTTCACGTGACGTCATAAGTGATTGGTGGCCGCTTAGAAGGGGTTGATGTTCGCTCTGAAGGACGCGATAGCCGCCTGAGTACAGGGGGGAGGGGGGGGGGGAGACAGAGAGAGAGAGAGAAAGAGGCAAGAGAGAGAAAGAAAGCGTGTGAGACAGCGGGTCAGAGCCAGAGCCAGAGATAGAGCAAGGGACAAAATGCACGGTTGATACCTCCCCATCCTTTCAGCTTGCCTTCGGACGCTCAAAAAGCTCCGCAGCATTGTGGTATTTCACGGAGACGTGTTCTCCCGCACACTAATTACGCGAAGAAACAACAACAACAGCAACAAGCGTGATGCTACATGTTCTCGCACGAAAAAAACCAACCAACCAAGCGCCACTTCCTAACCTCCAAAACAAACACACACAAACCACGCAATACCATCGTGTCCGAACACAAACAAAAACCGAAGGAGAGAACCAACACCTCAAACAGGACACGCAGCAATTGTGCAACAGGGCTCTTCCCCTTCACTCACCGCATTCGCCTGGCCGTCCGCGAGCTTCCGGAGGTAAGTCTCCGCGGTCCGCACGAAGCGGTTGAGGTCGTCCTCCGTCCACCAGGAGAGCAGGTACTTGCCGGCGACGGGGCAGTCGCACGACTCCTCCGCGCAGCGCAGGCAGGACACGTCCACGTCGCTGCAGGGGCAGGCAACCCCGGTCATGAAGAGGGTGTGCTTGCAGTTCTTGCACACGCGCTGCGTTTCGGGTTGTTATGTTTTGATTTGGCCGGGGTTTGGGGGGGCGGGGGCGGGGGCGGGGTTGGTTACATTGTATTGTCCCACACGGGAGATGGACAGGTGATATGAAGGAACAGAGGAACAGAGAGAGAGAGGAAAGGTTTTTTCGGGCGGGGGGGGGGCGAGGGCGGGGGCGGAGGAAGCCGAGGAAACACAGGGTGAGAGAAGAGAAAAACCTACAGAGAAGGGTGAGTTCAATGTCTACCGACTCCGCCATGCGTT